TGCTTTGGGTAGTATGGACATTTTAATGATGTTGATTCTACCAATCCATGAACACGGTATGTTCTTCCATCTGTTTATGTCTTCCTCTATCTCTTTTTTCAACGTCCTGTAGTTTTCTGAGTAGAGGTCTTTTACCTCTTTAGTTAAGTTTATTCCTAGGTAGCTTAATTTTTTTGGTGCGATGGTAAATGGGATTGTTTTTATAATCTCTCTTTCTGAAAGTTCACTATTGGTGTATAGAAATACCTCAGATTTAAGACCTTTTTTTTGAACTTACAAATACCTCCACCACTTTAGAACCTAAGGCTTTATTGACCTGAAGAATGAATACTTCTAGGAAACCAAATAAAGGCACACCAGCAATACTGGGGATCGTTCTGTTTAGGAAGATGTTAACAATGGGTCCCAGAGTTAATTAACCACTCATTGAATTTTTCCCTCAGCCCACAGTTTCTGACTCCCCAGTATGGACAAAAATGATGGCAAACAGTAAACATAGCAAGCTCAGGGAGCCTGGCATGGCATAGCCAATCTTGCAATCTCGTAGGCTAAAAGTACTGAAATAGGATGCTTTGAAGTTAAAACTTTCTAAGTAAAAGCTAATCACAGGGGTATTTATGTTTTTGTCTTGTGTGTGTGTGTGTGGTTTTTTAATTTTTTGCGAGGGACAAATTTTACCTTATTGAGCCTGTTTGTTATCGTTCTCTACCTGGGATATCATACCTTTGGATTTTCAGGGACATTTCAGTTTCACAGGCTCCTAAGAGCACAATCTCTGAACACAGAAGATCACAGAGCCCCAATTATTATTGTTACTGTATTAAATATTAACTGTTACCTAATAGAGAAGCTTAAAAAGTTTATCATTTTTTTTTCTTTTTAGCCAATCTCAAAGATTTTTCTCCATAGCTTCCCCACCTCCCCCGTCCAATTTATCACCAGTGAATGTCATGTAACCCATTTATGTCTTCTTCTTCAGTGTCGTGTATTAAAAAGGTGCAAAACTACCATTCTCCCAAGCAATTTATTTATTTTTATTTTTTTAAATATATTTT